AATTTCAGATTTTGGATTTCAGATTTTCCCGTCAGGGATGCTCAATCTGTCCCAGCCCTCTCCAGCTACTGCCTTGTCTCCCTAAACCTTTATCGAGTCCAGCTTCATAAAGAGGTGACTACGCCATAATCTTCTTCGTGTTCCATTTTATCCTAAACACATGAAATCCAGCTTCCACTCTCAACATACTACAAAAACTGCTCTGGAGCCTGTATCCAGTAGTTTCTGTCCTGCAACATGCAATGGAAACGTCTCAGTATTTCATTTGAACACTCAACAGCATTTGACAAAACTTACCACTCCCCTTTGAAACACTGTCTTTATTGATTTTCCTGACCCCACACTCTCCTGGCTTTCTGTCTGCTCTTTGAGAGTTCCTTCTCAGTCTTCTTTGCCATCTTGGCTCCTTTTCTTTGGATCCTCTGAGAGCAGAAATTACTCAGGGCATCATTCTGTAATCTCGTATCTTTTGCATTTTCCTGTGACTTGGCTTCTGAAAATATTTTCATGTGGAATGATCACAAATCAATATTTACATTCAAAACCGTAGTCTGAACTCCAGACTCACATCTGTGAACTTCACTCTTCTACTGAGATGTTTTAAAGGAATCTGAAAATATGTTCTAACTCATCTCTCTACCTTCCTCCCAAATCCATGCTGAACTCTTCCTCCTCATGGGCTTTGCTATTTCCTCCATCTGAACATAGCTCTTCACCTCTTTACCTGGCTAATGCCTACTCTTCCTTTAGGTTTCCACTTAAATGTCACTTATTTCAAAAGACCTTCTTTAGCCCTCCTAATGAAATTATACTATCTTATAGCACAAAATAGAACTTTAAATGGTCAAATGTACTCCCTATTTTCGTTCAGAGTACATGTGATGGTTTAAAGTTATATTTCAGTTTGTGATCTTGTTGTTACATGCTAGTTTCTCCCCTCTCTTGTTAGGCTAGAAGCATTTGAGTGAGCCAACTGCATTATTAATTTCCCCACCTCTTCAAATCTGCTCAAGGTTTGTCTTCTCAATGAGGCCTTTCCTGGCCTATATGGAATTACAACTCAACTCTCCCCTGAACTCCCATCTCCATTATTTTGCTTTAGTTTCCCCCACCACTCCGCCCCTCCCACAACACTTACAGACTTCTAAATTTTCATATAATTTGCTGGCTTACATTTTTTCAACTTGTGCTTTTCTCCCCACCCAAGAATGTATGCTTTATAAAGATTTCTTGTCTGTTTTGTTCATTGATATATCCCAAACGCCTACTACATGATAGGAGTTCAATAAATACTTGCCAAATGAATTGAGGGGCTGTGTCTGTTTTCCTCCCCACCACACTGCAAGCTAATCAATTTCTGTGGAATTAAATTTCAAGTAGCATAAAATCTAAGATGAAGGATGGAGCAGAACACTGCCTGCACAGTGGGATCGCATATGTTGTGAATGCATGAATGCTTCCAGGTGAAAAAGGTGTATTTAATTTGGAATCTACAAAGTGGTCATCTTTTGTGTTGTTTTTTAAGCACACAATCTTGTTTTTGCTTTCTTTCTCCACATGTTAAGAAGTTTTAAGAAACAATAATACAAATGTAAGCTGCATGAGAGGAAAGACCATGTCCATATTTGTCCCTGGTGTAAGCTGATGTCTAAAGTCTTTTCCCTCGTACTTAGGAGGACCTTAATAAATACTTTAGGAATGAATCACTGACCTACTGAGTGAATCTGTGCCATCAAGGGAAGATAGCAGCACCGGCAGTGGTAGAAAAAGCCAGGACTCAGTCATCAAGGGGCCTGACCTCTATTCGTGGCTCTGCCGTCTGAGAATCTGGCAACTCTCCCGTGCCTATTTCTTCATCGTTGAGAGGGAGAAGCCAGGTGCTCCAGTTCAACTTCAGTAGATGATCTTCTAAAATGGAAGCCCCCTGAGGTCAGAGACCGAGTTTATCTTGTTCAAATGATATGAAAACAAGATCTGGATTATTGTGTTTGACACACTGGGCCCTCAAGATTTTGTGGAATGGTCTCTAAAATTCTTTCCAACGCTAACATTCTACAGAAAAATAACAGGTCTCTTAAATAAATTGCTTTTTTCTAAAGAAAACTATACACAGATTATTATTATCTTGCAAATATGTTAGGACAGGGTGAAAGGGGAGTGCAAATGAAGAATAAATGACCGTTTCTTCCTACATTATTAATTTGGTTTGGTTACAGACACCGGTTTTACATTTTCACTATGATCTCGGGTTCTTTAGTCATATTTCTGTAAACATTTTTGGCGCTTTGTTTGAAACCTTTCACTCTGGGTGTGAGCACACCAAACTCCTGAGGAGCCACACTTGCACTGTACTGCTTCCCTACCAGTTCCAAGTTCTTGGCCTTCTTTCCCTGTCATGAAATAGTTTTGCAAGAACAACAACTGTTTTCCATTTCCCAGCCCGTTCTTCCTCACCCATGCTCCGCCGGGACCCTCTTCCCCATAAGCTCAAGAAATCCCCTGCTTGGACGACGCTAGTCGCTGGGGGAGGTTGGGGAAACGGTGGCCCAGCCCTCAGAGGCCGCGGGCAGCGCCCCCAAGGAGCCTCCGCCTGCCACTTGCTGGGGACCGTCGACTTTCCAGCTACCTTAGAATGCGCTTGCGTATCAAAAAAAAAAAAAAAAAAAAAAATCTTTTCTACCGTAAACTAGACACTCAGACCGCTCGTGAGGAGGGAACTTATGTGTTTACACTTTTTTTTTTTTTTTTTTTTTTGCCCCAGAGCTGCTGCGGGAATTGATTGGCTCCCTCGCGCCCCTGACGCTGGGGCTGTCCCCCCGCCCCTCCCCGCCCTCACCCCGCCCCCTCGCGCGGCCATCTGCTTCGCAGTCTGTCTCCCAGTCTCTCACTCGGCCCCTCTCCCCTCCACCACTCCCAGCCCCCGCCCCCCCGCCCACCGTCACCCCCCAGCGCCGGCTCCGCCTCTTCCCCCTCCCCCGGCCCCGTGTTCCGAATCTTCCTTGGCCGTTGCCAGGGAGACCAGCCGATACCAGGCAAATAGGCGTACGAGAAAGAAAAGGGGGGAAAGCTACACGGCAGCCTGGTAACAAAGGAGCAATAAAAGCAGCCCCCAAATGGAGGGCGAAGGACGCGTCTGGGAGAAAATCCGAAAGCGAGCTAGCAGTCACCCCAATTTAAAATAGGAGGGGGATGCAGAGGAAGGGGCATGATTCACGTTGGGGGTGGGGGGAAATCAAGAGCCTTAAATGGGCTTTTGGGAATCGCCTGGATGGTGGTGTCGGATCAGCCCAGTTGGCTTTTCAAGTTGGAACTGCTAATACAAGGGATTCGCGTCCATTCTTGCGGCTGGGGTCGTGGGCCAGGCCAGCGGGCTTTCTTAAGGGTAATAACACGTTTGTTGGCAAGATGCATTTCTACGGAAACGTCTTTACATCAGCTGTGGGGAATATGACCATGGTCGAATAATACATCTGAAGGAACTGAACAGTGAGAAGACGAAGCTTCACGTAACAATGTTCAGCTTGGTGATTTTCAAAGCAACGCTTGAACAAAGAGTTATTGGCTTGAACCAACCGTCTTTTTCACTCAGAGTGTGACCTATTTCCCTACAGTGAGCAGAAAATAAAACTGTTTGAGAATTCAGAGCCAGCACCAGGAGAAATGAACCATTCCCTCGACTGCTTCTCACCTTCATAAGCGAAAGATTATTTCTTGCAGGATCACCAAATGTAAACGAGAAAAGGTGGTCTGATTTTGCCACGAGTGAAAACTTTGGGAAGAAAATGCTTATTAAGCTGTTTCCTTGGTTCCCCTCACCCCCCATACTTTAAGTCAGTGCCTTGTCTCTCACACACAAATAGCGTCTGGTACTTCGGTGGCAAGGAGTGCAGTGACAGATGGAGGTATCCTGTGTACCATTATAGAAGCTTTTCCTCTAACCCAAGTTAGACTTGGAGAGCTCAGGGATCTTGCTATCTCTCAACATGCAGAACATTTCTCCTTAGAACTGCAATCCGGTTTAGAATGTCATCATTGCTGCCTCCCTTCCTTCCAGGAGCACATTCGCCTGCGTGCGCATTCACACACTCACACGTTCAAAAAGAGTCCATTCGATTCTGGCAGTAGGCTGAAAACGATCCATATTGACGCGAATAACATCCCAACTGTAAATATGGATTCGTCTACTCGAGGCTGTGTCTCATTTCACCACAGAGGAAAATTATGTCATTTCAAACAGTGATAAAACGCGAAGAGTTTCGATCTTCTATAAATGGCTTTCACTTTGAATTGTGGAAAAAAACTATTACTAATTGGGAATAGCCAGAGAAGGGGGAATTTGTTGAGCGCCCAAGGCCAATCTCAAAATATTTTATTGCATGCCAATGTGGGAGAGGGAAGGGAGTGTGGCTTCGCTGTCTGCCGCTTTTGCATTTTCCACATCTGGCCTACAGACCTAATTCTAACTTGCGATCTCGCTTGATGAAATTCGATCTTCGTGGTTTAAATACCTTTCAATTTGGGACGATTTAACCATTGCAGCAGTTGAAGAAACAAACCCTGCGCATTATCTGTAAAGCCAATATGGAAAAAGAAAGGAGGAAAGAAAGCATGCTGCAAACACACAAATCACGACCATTGTCTTTAACACTCGCATAAACACACATACACATAAACACACGGAAAGATGGGGGAGGGGAGCGAGTGGAGAGAGAGACACACGGATATAGACCGACGAGAGTCAATGCGAGTCAAGTTAACGCTTTCTCCGCCCCGATGCACAACTACCCCCCTCCCGCGTTAATTAATTCCAAACAAAGCAAGCCAATCAAGAAATGCATTATTATTTTCAAGCAGAGAGAGGCGAGTGCCAAGTATTTTTTAATTGATTTATTTATTTGGAGGACATTAATTCTCGATCTGAGGCTGATTTTCAAACCGTTTGCAAAGCGCGGCTCCATTGTTCGCCAGGCGCGCAGACCCCGCCCCCTGCTTTGTGTGCGGCGCGCGGATTGGCCGACGCGCGCGGGGGCCGCGTCAGCGCCCGCGAGCCCATTCATCTGTGCACTTGGGCGTTGGACCCCGCATCTTATTAGCAACCAGGGAGATTTCTCCATTTTCCTCTTGTCTACAGTGCGGCTACAAATCTGGGATTTTTTTATTACTTCTTTTTTTTTCGAACTACACTTGGGCTCCTTTTTTTGTGCTCGACTTTTCCACCCTTTTTCCCTCCCTCGTGTGCTGCTGCTTTTTGATCTCTACGACTAAAATTTTTTTATCCGGAGTGTATTTAATCGGTTCTGTTCTGTCTTCTCCACCACCCCCACCCCCCTCCCTCCGGTGTGTGTGCCGCTGCCGCTGTTGCCGCCGCCGCTGCTGCTGCTGCTCGCCCCGTCGTTACACCAACCGGAGGCTCTTTGTTTCCCCTCTTGGATCTGTTGAGTTTCTTTGTTGAAGAAGCCAGCATGGGTGCCCAGTTCTCCAAGACCGCAGCGAAGGGAGAAGCCGCCGCGGAGAGGCCCGGGGAGGCGGCTGTGGCCTCGTCGCCTTCCAAAGCGAACGGGCAGGTAAATTCTACCTGTGGTTGTGGTCATTTACTTGGTGTCTTTCTCTCCTTCCCTCCTGGTGGCTCCCAAGGCTCATTCGTGGAGAGGAGTGTGGCTGGATTCTAGTCTGAAAGTTGAATGGAATGGATAGCCTAAATTGTGTATTTTTTATAGCAGGGGTCTCCCCCCACCCCAAAGGAGTGGTTCCTTAGAATCCTGTAGAATTCTTGAGTAGACGGGAGGAAAGGAGTGATAAATCGTCTAAAATGGCGTGGTTTGGAGATTGGCAGAACGTGACTAGCTAGGTGCCCTCCTCCCCCGCCCCCAGCCAGGTTGCATTTGTGTTTGGGGGCACAATGGTGTTTGGGTAGCTCTCGGGTTTGTTGTCGAAGCTAGATTGTCTTCGAGATTTCTGAACTGGTGGTGTGATTGTGTGTGGGGGGTGGGGGAGTCGGGAAAGGGGGGCGCAGTGGGGATGGTGGTGGAGAAAGGCGAGGAGGGAAGGGCTGTCTTATTGTATGCCGCGGCGGCGTTCCCTGGGTTCTTGGAAAGGTGGTTGGCTGCGGTTGGACAGAGGGCTTCGGTACCTTTTGATGGGGCTTTCCCACTGTCCTAAATCTTTATTCGTAGCTGTCCGTGAAATTACACACCCATTTGATTTTTAAATGGTATCTGTGGGGTGGGAACACTCGGAGGTCCTTTAAGAACCTTTCCAGATGGTCAAAAAGAGGCGGTTCGTGCGTTTGGGTCGGGATTGTTCTTGTGCGTGGCGCCTCGACCACCCGCGGGGGGCCGCCCGGCGCTGCCTGGACCCAGGCAGATAGCCACGGTTGGGTGGACCCGAGAGGTCGGCAATGGGTGGCTGCTTCGCAAACACTGGGCACCCACCACGCCTCTTTTCCTAGAGAAAAGATCGTGTCGCTTCGCCTGCTCTAACCTACTGGGGAAAGCGAAGTCTGCCAAGAGGCTTTAAACCCGTTAAAAATGCAAAATGAACCGCCGAGGAGCGCCCAGGCTTCGCAGAATCACAGGGGAAGGTGGGCGTGGAAGCAGAGGCGAGACCTCAGAAATAATGGGTTTCCCCCTGCCTTGTTGGTTTCAGACCGACCAAGAGGCCAGGAAGCCACCTGAGCTTTGTTTGCGGACTGCTGAGCTGCGCGATCCGGGCTCGGGGGCGCCTCGGCCTGCGGGCAGGGCCCGGCTGGGCAGGGCGGGGTGGCCCGGCGACTCCGCCCCTCCTCGCCTGCCTGCCCCTAGCCCGGCGCAGTGGAGGCACAGTGCCCCCTGCCGGTCCCAAGGCCCTGAGCGGGCGCAGGACCTCGAAGGGCCCCGTGCGGGGAGGGGCTCCTGGCTCGAGTGCTGTGGTCCCCCTGGGAATTCCTGGTATTTTTGAAGAGGACTTTATGTATTTAGGGCTAAAGAGGGATGTGAAACGTAGGCGCGGACCACCAGCTCTGGCTCTGTGCCTTCTTCCAAAGGGCGTCTGCTGTGTCAACTATTCCTTGGCACCTTTTTTCCCCTAAGCCCCCCATAAGGCGAGGGCTGGCATGGTTAGCCTTTGCTTGCTACGTTTCCAACTTCATCTTTAGGGCACTTGCTGAATGGCTGGCTGGTCACTGTTCTACTTGGGGGCTACAGTTGTGTTTTGGGAGGGGGGTCTCCAGGCAGCGGTGCCCATTTCCTCGTTCGTGGGGCTCTCGTCTGGGCATCCACCCGCGCCTCCCCGTAACGGCGGGGGTGGGATCTCGATGGCCACAGGGGCCTTAGCGGGAAGCGGGTCCCTCCCGGTCCAGGGCTGGGGGCGGGAATGGCGGCGCCCCGGCCGCTTCAGTGACGCTCCCGCTTTCTCTGCCTCTTAGGAGAATGGCCACGTGAAGGTAAACGGCGACGCTTCGCCCGCGGCCGCCGAGTCGGGCGCCAAGGAGGAGCTGCAGGCCAACGGCAGCGCCCCGGCCGCCGACAAGGAGGAGCCCGCGGCAGCCGGGAGTGGCGCGGCGTCGCCCTCCGCAGCCGAGAAAGATGAGCCAGCCGCCGCCGCCCCCGAGGCCGGGGCCAGCCCGGTAGAGAAGGAGGCCCCCGCGGAGGGCGAGGCTGCCGAGCCCGGCTCGCCCACGGCCGCGGAGGGAGAGGCCGCGTCGGCCGCCTCCTCGACGTCTTCGCCCAAGGCCGAGGACGGGGCCACGCCCTCGCCCAGCAACGAGACCCCGAAAAAAAAAAAGAAGCGCTTTTCCTTCAAGAAGTCTTTCAAGCTGAGCGGCTTCTCCTTCAAGAAGAACAAGAAGGAGGCTGGAGAAGGCGGTGAGGCCGAGGCGCCCGCTGCCGAAGGCGGCAAGGACGAGGCCGCCGGGGGCGCCGCTGCGGCCGCCGCCGAGGCGGGCGCGGCCTCCGGGGAGCAAGCAGCGGCGCCGGGCGAGGAGGCGGCAGCTGGCGAGGAGGGGGCGGCGGTTGGCGACCCGCAGGAGGCCAAGCCCGAGGAGGCTGCTGTCGCGCCAGAGAAGCCACCCGCCAGCGACGAGACCAAGGCCGCCGAGGAGCCCAGCAAGGTAGAGGAGAAGAAGGCCGAGGAGGCCGGGGCCAGCGCCGCCGCCTGCGAGGCCCCCTCGGCTGCCGGGCCCGGCGCGCCCCCGGAGCAGGAGGCCGCCCCCGCAGAGGAGCCCGCGGTCGCCGCCGCCTCGTCAGCCTGCGCAGCCCCCTCACAGGAGGCCCAGCCCGAGTGCAGTCCAGAAGCCCCCCCAGCGGAGGCGGCAGAGTAAAAGAGCAAGATTTTGTGAGATAATCGAAGAACTTTTCTCCCCTGTTTGTTTGTTGGAGTGGTGCCAGGTACTGGTTTTGGAGAACTTGTCTATAACCAGGGATTGATTTTAAAGATGTCTTTTTTTATTTTACTTTTTTTAAGCACCAAATTTTTTTTCTCCCTCCCCCCACCCCGCCCACAGATCCCATCTCAAATCATTCTGTTAACCACCATTCCAACAGGTCGAGGAGAGCTTAAACACCTTCTTCCTCTGCCTTGTTTCTCTTTTATTTTTTATTTTTTCGCATCAGTATTAATGTTTTTGCATACTTTGCATCTTTATTCAAAAATGTAAACTTTCTTTGTCAATCTATGGACATGCCCATATATGAAGGAGATGGGTGGGTCAAAAAGGGATATCAAATGAAGTCATAGGGGTCACAATGGGGAAATTGAAGTGGTGCATAACATTGCCAAAATAATGTGCCACTAGAAATGGTGTAAAGGCTGTCTTTTTTTTTTTTTTTTTTTTAAAGAAAAGTTATTACCATGTATTTTGTGAGGCAGGTTTACAACACTACAAGTCTTGACTAAGAAGGAAAGAGGAAAAAAGAAAAAACACCAATACCCAGATTTAAAAAAAAAAAAAAACGATCATAGTCTTAGGAGTTCATTTAAACCATAGGAACTTTTCACTTATCTCATGTTAGCTGTACCAGTCAGTGATTAAGTAGAACTACAAGTTGTATAGGCTTTATTGTTTATTGCTGGTTTATGACCTTAATAAAGTGTAATTATGTATTACCAGCAGGGTGTTTTTAACTGTGACTATTGTATAAAAACAAATCTTGATATCCAGAAGCACATGAAGTTTGCAACTTTCCACCCTGCCCATTTTTGTAAAACTGCAGTCATCTTGGACCTTTTAAAACACAAATTTTAAACTCAACCAAGCTGTGATAAGTGGAATGGTTACTGTTTATACTGTGGTATGTTTTTGATTACAGCAGATAATGCTTTCTTTTCCAGTCGTCTTTGAGAATAAAGGAAAAAAAATCTTCAGATGCAATGGTTTTGTGTAGCATCTTGTCTATCATGTTTTGTAAATACTGGAGAAGCTTTGACCAATTTGACTTAGAGATGGAATGTAACTTTGCTTACAAAAATTGCTATTAAACTCCTGCTTAAGGTGTTCTAATTTTCTGTGAGCACACTAAAAGCGAAAAATAAATGTGAATAAAATGTACAAATTTGTTGTGTTTTTTTATGTTCTAGTAATACTGAGACTTCTAGGTCTTAGGTTAATGTTTTGGAAGATCTTGCATGCCATCAAGAGTAAATTTTCTTGTGGTTCTTAATCTGAAGTTTTCAAGCTCTGAAATTCATAATCCGCAGTGTCAGATTAGGTAGAGGAAGATCTTACAACATTCCATGTCAAATCTGTTACCATTTATTGGCATTTAGTTTTCATTTAAGAATTGAACATAATTATTTTTATTGTAGTTATATAGCATGTCAGATTAAATCATTTAGAACAAAAGGGGTGTGAACCTAAGACTATTTAAATGTCTTATGAGAAAATTTCATAAAGCCATTTTCTTGTAATTCAGGTCCAGAAACAAATTTTAAACTGAGAGTCTATAGAATCCATAGTGCAGATGGGTCATGAAATGTGGCCAAATGTGTTTCAAAAATTGATGGTGTATTACCTGCTATTGTAATTGCTTAGTGCTTGCCTAATTTCCAAATTATTGCTTAATATGTTATACCTTAAGAAAACAGGTTTATGTAACAAAGTAATGGTGTTGAATGGATGATGTCAGTTCATGGGCCTTTAGCGTAGTTTTAAGCCTTTTTTTTTTTTTTTTTTTTTTTTTTTTTTGCAAGTGTGTTAGCATCTTGTTACTCAAAGGATAAGATAGACGATAATACTTCACTGAATATTAATAATCTTTACTAGTTTACCTCCTCTGCCCTTTACCACCCGGTGACTGGTTATCTTTTTCTTCACTGGACCCTAAACTGATTGAATTTTAAGATATGTATTAAAAACCATTATTTCATTTAATGCACATCTGTTTTGCTGTTTTTGAACAGTGTGCAGTTTAGGGTTCATGATAAATCATTGAACCACATGTGTAACAACTGAATGCCAAATCTTAAACTCATTAGAAAAATAACAAATTAGCTTTTGACACGCACTCTTAATTGGAATAATGGATCAAAAATAGTGGTTCATGACCTTACCAAACACCCTTGCTACTAATAAAATCAAATAACACTTAGAAGGGTGTGTATTTTTAGTTAGGGTTTCTTGATCTTGGAGGATGTTTGAAAGTTAAAAATTGAATTTGGTAACCAAAGGACTGATTTATGAGCCTTCTGTATCTTAACCAACTTTTTCTTAGTTACCTAGATGGCCAAGTACAGTGCCTGGCATGTAGTAGGACTCAGTAAAAAAGTGGATTTTTAAAAATAACTCCCAAAGTGAATAGTCAAAAATCCTGTGTAGCAAACTGTTATATATTGCTAAGTTTGTTCTTTTAACAGCTGGAATTTATTAAGATGCATTATTTTGATTTTATTCACTGCCTAAAACACTTTGGGTGGTATTGATGGAGTTGGTGGATTTTCCTCCAAGCAATTAAATGAAATTTGACGTATCTTTTCATCCAAAGTTTTGTACATCATGTTTTCTAACGGAAAAAAAATGTTAATATGGCTTTTTTGTATTACTAAAAATAGCTTTGAGATTAAGGAAAAATAAATAACTCTTGTACAGTTCAGTATTGTCTTATTAAATCTGTATTGGCAGTATGTATAACGGCATTTGCTGTGGTTACAAAATACTTCCCCTGGGTTATAATAATCATTTGATCCAATTCCTATTGCTTGTAAAATAAAGTTTTACCAGTTGATATAATCAAGCCTGCTAAAATAGGATTTTTTTTTACAAATTTTATTTTAAAATGCAAATATTTCTAGAGAAAATTTTAAAATCTTAGGTGTTAAAGGTAAGCATTCAGTTTAAGAGATTTAAATGATATGCTTGGCATTATACTTAACATATAAAATTATATCCACTGAAGGTGAGTTGTATGCCCCCAAGCCAATTAAAAATTTTAATGATAGAACTTGATAAAATATTTGAGAAACAATGCAATTTTTTTTATATAAATAAAAAAAAATTTAACCTTGCAACTAAAGTCAAGGATTTGGGGTAAGGTACTTTTCAAAGCCATATATATATATATAAGTTTATTTATTTATAGGCTGGTCTTACTATGTTGCCCAGGCTGGTCTTGAACTCTGGCCTCAAACGATCCTCCTGCCTCAGCCTCCCAAAGTTTTAGGATTACAGGTGTGAGCCACCATCCATCCCTGGACATGCAGCCATATTTTTTAGATAGATGCCTGACTAGCAGTTGGTAGGGGAGTATAGTTTAATGTAGCCTCAGTCAAGTTTGAGAAATTTTAAAAGTACTTAAGTGAGAGATCTATTAGCTTTTAACTTCCCTTTAATCATTCACTGCAAATTGAGCATTTTTTTTCCCCCTCCACATCCTATGAAAGTAGTGTGCCACACAGGAATTTTAAAATGCTTTTAATCTGTAAATGTTCCAGTCCCTGTTGGGGATTCAAGTTCCAGCACTCTTTTTAAATTATACTCAAGAATGCTATTCTGAAAATGGAAAATAAATACTTTTGAAAGGTTAGGTGTGAATTTCAACAGCTTTAGGATTTCCTATATATTTCCAATATTTTAAAAGTATTCAATAGATATACTTGGGTGTAGTTGACTAAAACTGATGAGATTGTCTTTTTTTTTTCTATTTTATCTTTATTCTAGTAATATGCCAGTCAGTAATGAATTTATAAAAAGCAATCTTTTCAGTGTTACTTATTTACCTATGTTCTTCATTAAAGTTGTAGGTAGGTGAAACTGAGATCAATTTTTTGCCTGGAATTTGTGAAACCCAAAAGATTTTCTGAAATTCCTCTTTCAGAGACATATGGAAATGTACTTATTTATAGTTACAGCTCATATTTAAGAAAAAATGGTAATACGTAGTTTGATCTCTTTCTTACTTTGAGTGATAATGACTTACCATAAGCCATACCTTTTCTCAAAAGATGAGGATTTAGCATCATTTAGAAAAACTGTCTTCTGGATATTAGGCATTTCTTGTTAAATTCTAAAAATACTTTGAATCTTAAAAGCATCAACTAAATGAATGAATAAACCTCTCAAGACCACTGTAAGGGAAGCCCCATATTTAGGTATATAAGTTATGTTTCATTCTTAGAAAATTCTTTATAGATTGATGTTGAAAATGTGAATGAAACATTTTTTTTTTTTAATTTTTGTTTATGGGACTTGAAATTTGAATGTTCAAAAATAAACTGTGTATCTCTTTATAGAATTCTGGGGTAATTGTGGTCTCAAACTCCACATTACAAAGTTAACAACCATCTAGTATCAAAATATGAGCTTTTCTTTTCTTTTCTTTTCTTTTTTTTTGAGACAGGGTCTCACTCTGATTGCCCAGGCTGGAGTGCAGTTCACTGCAACCTCCTGGGTTCAAGCAATTCTTGTGCCCCAGCCTCCCTAATAGCTGGGATTACAGGCATGCACCACCATGCCCGGCTAATTTTTGTATTTTTCATAGAGACGGGGTTTTGCCATGTTGGCCAGGCTGGTCTCAAACTCCTGGCCTCAAGCAATCCGCCTACCTCTGCCTCCCAAAATTCTGGGATTAGAGGCGTGAGCCACTGTGCCAAGACAAAATAGCATTGTTTATAAGCATTTTGTTTTAGGTCCTTGATAGAGGCTAAATGAAGTTAAATACACAGCTAAGTGGCATAGTATGCCCCTGGAAATACAAGAAGGGAAAAAAAGTAAACCTTTTATAGCAATCAATTTAAATCTAAAGGATTTCATTTAAAGACTATAATGTTGAGAAAGCTAAATTAATGTTTGCATTGATTCTTTATAATGCTTACTAATGTGCAGTGTTGAAGTACATTCAAGGAACAAGATACTCAGCAATCCACTTCTACAGTATTTTGCTTTCTCTGTAACAGGGTGCTCTCTCTCTCCCCTTTTTCCTCCAGCTCAGTCCTCCAAACAGGAAATCCCGTCACCCCAAAATGGTCTCAAACTCCACAAAAAAAAGTACAAAAGTACTGCTTGAAGAAATGTTTGGAAGGATACTTCAACTATAAAAATTATTTTGAGATTCTATGTTGACCTTAATACTTTTACAGGAGACAATCAAAATTAAGGATGTGAAAAAGAGATCTAATTACAAGGAGTCTTGATAAAAACTTGACTCTCCAAAAAGCTTTTTTTTCCTATTTCAATGCCTTAAAATTTTTTAAAAAACTGATGTTTTCATTATTTGATTTCTTAGCAATTCTTAAAGATTACTTTGATGATTGTGGAAACTGTCATTCAGGGATATAGATGATAAGCCAAACTGCAAAGTTTTTAATCCTGTAGGTTTTGAGCCACTGTTGTGCTGCCAAATAAGTATACTCATTTGATGATCATTTAAATCTACCTAATTGAACCTATATGGATTAATTGTACTAAAATGAAAATCTGGGTAAGATACAACTGAACCTGCCAAGAAATATAAGCAGTGGATGTTAATCATATTTTATGTTCCTGAAAAAGTAAAAAATTACTGATGCTGAAATACTCCTAACTACAATTCCTCCTCTCAGCATCAACTTTTAAGCAAAATGAAATATTTATCTTTGTCATAAAAGTTAGCAGCTGCAAATATGTAAGTATTGCAAAAATTTCTAGAAATATGTATAAGCCCAGTTCTAGTGTTTTGATAAAATTGGAGCATAAGACTTTTTCTAGTGTTTGTAAATGAAATATGAGAGTATCTTTTTAAAATTATTTATTTAGTTAGTTTTGAAATAAAGTGTCACTCTATCACCCAGGCTGGAGTGCAGTGGTACAATCATGGCTCACTGCAGCCTCGACCTCTGAGACTCAAGTGATCCTCCCACCTCAGCATCCAGAGTAGCTGGGATTACAGGTGTATGCCACCATACCCAGATTTTTTTTTTTTTTTAATTTTTTTTGTAGAAATGGAGTCTTGAACTCCTGGAATCAAGTGATCCTCCCACACTGGCCTCCCAAAGTGTTGGGATTACAGATGTGAACCACTGCTCCAGTCTGAGAATATCTAGTACCACTGGTAAAGGAAAAATGAGAGTATCTTTGTC